TACAAAGGTGTGGTAACACGATTTCTGCGAGGAATTCTTATGCACCACATGAGAACTATCAAAGGAGTTCAAAGTAATATGTGAATTTTTGGATAAGGCATAATTGACACTCGTCAGGATTTCCCAGAAGTTCGTAACACTTACAGAGGTTTCTGGGTCCATTTCACTTCAGCAACTGGCAGTACCAACAGCCATAAGTGCACCACCGTTTCTGACTTAGTGATAACAACTGAGCAAAATGTTGATGCATCGTTCAAAGAAGCTTTGCGGTTACTCGTTGAGCGATCAGTTTTGTCAGCTTCGTTGTTCTTCCTACAGTCTATTTCATGACCACAAGACCAAACAAGCTCCTGAAGCCGGGAACAGTGTCATTTTCGGGTCTACTCGCCAGGGTTTTTCACTGCTTACTGCACTACTGTAGCGCATTTTCGTTACTCACAGGTTTCCGCCAACTCCACTGGCACCGGCTTCGCAAGTTCAGTATTATTAATGTGATAATGCTATTGCGGAAGAACGCTGAGTTGTTAGAATCAAACGAAGATCCCGACTAGAAAGCGCTGCTCTGCTGGGCCAATCAAGAAGAGAAAGTAAACCTCGCCTTCCCACAAAATCTCCTGATTCGCTTGAAATGGCAATTCTGGCATTTGTTTCAGTACTCAAGATTGAAACATTTTCATTTTTTAGTGTCCATTTTCCCAAAGCGCCAAGTCCGCGAGCCCGCCGCTGCAAAGTATGAACAGCCCAAGAGATTAATTCGACTTGTGATTAACTGTAAGAGTAGCTGGAAACCCCAGCACATTATCTATGTGCTCTTGAACGCAATTCCCGTGACTGCATATCATAGGAATCACCTCACCTGTATCACCTGTGCTCCCGTTGATCATCGAGTTCCTCGAGCGGGCGCCAGTAACGTCTCCATTCGTCCCTGCAACGTGCAAGAGTTGCCCAATGAACTCTCTCAGCTCGAGGGACACGATGAACTTCATACCATTCGTTCAGAGCTTTCACGAAGAAGTCTGACCATCGCGTAGGCGGTCGTCCAGGCGTTCGCTTGACATCCCGTGGAATCCAGTCGGTGACTGCTCTGGTCCAGCGGTCGTCCTCGAAACGCATGACGTGTCCGGCCCACCTGATCTTCGAAACCTTGGCAAATGCGGCGGCGTCTCTGATCTTCGATCGTTGGCGGAGTGCGGAGCTCCGGATTCCCTCTC